GGTGTTTTCGTGGTTTTCCCCATGTGTAACGTGTATACGAGCCAGTTTCCTTTAGAAAGTCCTCCACGGCATCCCTCCCCTTAGGCAGATAGCCCTTGTGTGCTTTGCCATAATTAAATACACCACCACCATTTTCAAACTCTAGAAGAATAGTTAACCTTAAAACCTTTATTGACATGTAGAACGCATACACATAGTGTTTCAGTGCAACGTATGGAACTTCCTAGCATGGTACGTTGCTGAAAAGTGAAATGGAATCTCATTGTCGGAAACGACATAGTTCCGCGGTAAATGACACATGGTATGTTGCTGAAAAGTGAAATGGAATCTCATTGTCGGAAACGACATAGTTCCGCGGTAAATGACACATGGTACGTTGCTGAAAAGTGAAATGGAATCTCATTGTCGGAAACGACATAGTTCCGCGGTAAATAACACATGGTACGTTGCTGAAAAGTGAAATGGAATCTCATTGTCGGAAACGACATAGTTCCGCGGTAAATAACACATGGTACGTTGCTGAAAGTGAAATGGAATCTCATTGTCGGAAACGACATAGTTCCGCGGTAAATGACACATGGTACGTTGCTGAAAAGTGAAATGGAATCTCATTGTCGGAAACGACATAGTTCCGCGGTAAATGACACTTATAGACGTGAGATGGGAGTATGTTATCTCAGGAAATTGTTATTTACGTTCGCAAATAACAGTTTAACGTTAATTAACTATTAAATGTTTAATGTAAATGTTTGGTATGGCACGGTCAGGACCACTTAACATGGCACTTAACAGGGTCGGCACGGTGAGGATCGCTTAACAGATCCATATCTCTTCATCTGGATTAAGAAAAATTACAGATTATTTCTAAAGAAAATTTCTTCAGAACTTTTGAATAAGCGACAGCTCCACCAGTAGCTGTGCCGTGCCATAAAATGTGGTTTCTATACGATGAGACTCGGTCCATTCCAGCGAAGACGTTCGTCAATGCTGTTGCGTTTTTTTCTTCTGACACCAGTTGTTACGTTATTTTCTTCCTTCACGTTCGTACGGGGTTCGTAGATTTGGAGTGAATAACGACGACACTTGATGAAGTATCGAAACAAACTTTATTTACTAATATTAATCAGATAGCTCCAAAATCACCTTTACAGTCGTCGAACTGTTATAAACACGCTGACACGTTCAGCGACACAGCCTTCACACTTTCAGACAATAACGGTGCAGACAGCTTCACTGCAAAGCACCGTAGTACAGCTCCCGACTCTGCTCGGTCATTCTCGGAACTCCATGTACTCTCCAGACTCTCTACACTACAACTTGCAATGCACTCGACGACACACAGAGTACAGCTCCCAACTCTTTGGTTCAGTCGTTCTTGGAGCATAACACAGTCTCTCGACGATACACTAACCGCGATACACTAAGAGACTCTTCGATGCACTCGACGACCCACTCGGCACTCGCTGGCCGGCTGTCAACTCGATCGTCTCCGCACGAACTAACTAGATGAGAGACACTCTGACTCGCCCTCTCGACGAGGCACTCACTCACTGACAGCGGGCCAGCAGGGGTTATATAGCTTTCGGCTTGTGTTCGAGAACATTCTGGGCTAAACCGATAAGCATTCGTTCCAGAAGGTTCTCCAACCATGCATGGTATATCGCCAAATGTGTGATTTCTCGCCAAATGTAGCAACCATGCCTTCCCTTGCTATTTTATGGCAACCCTAAACCTGCTTTGCGGGAAAGCTCTCTCACCGCGCCTGTACATTTCGTAACGATACTAAAACTGTTAATGATAATGAATCAAATTCAATCCAAAAGCATCAGGTTCAGCGAAATCCAAGCATGAAGGTGCAGCGTGCACTGATTACAAAGAAATTTTAACAAAAATGTAGGTTGCTAAATTCTTGGGCCGTCTAAAGGGCGAATTTATTAAAATACTCCTAAATACTAAAGAAGATACAGAAAGCTAACGAAGTTATTCAGTGCAAAATAAATTGATCATTATGTTATAAACCATAAATTTCAATCCAATCAAAGCTCTTTTAACCCTTTCCGGCACGCTACCTTTTAAAGTTGGAGTTTTGATTTAAAAAAAAATTAAAAAAAAAGGTAAGCAATCTAATTAGGCCTAGAGGAGTACACAAGTAAAATTTTGTGAAGATAACACTTATCGTTTAATTCTGTGGGCACACTGATTGAATAGAGCTTCGAAAAGAGTGCTGAAACGAGCATTGTTGTCAATGAACTGACCGATGAGATGCGGAGCAAAAGAATACAGACTCTCGGTTGTCCTAGATTATCGGTGTCCCAGATTATCGGTCTAAGCACACCTAGGGTTCGCCTTTTAATTTTAGGCAAGATTTCAAGGTAAAAATTTAAAACTAATATAGAATAAGGAGATTAGCGTACAGGCAAGAAATAACACAGAAATTTCTTTTCAAACAATTCCTTTTATACCCTAAAATGTCTGGAAGATTTCTTTGAAAAATGAGGGTCTTAAAAAACTAAACATGGCTAAAATATATGGACTGTTTTGCGTTGAGCTTCCCTCTACTATAAATAAAGAAGGTTCAGAGTAACCTATAGTAACTTATAAATTCTTTTTCATTCACTTTTTCTGTGCGTACAGAAAGGAAATTTTTAGGTGTGTCCAGACCGGACACATTGTGCCGCAAAGGGTTAAGGGGACTTTCCATTAACAGCAGTTGTACTAAAATAATGCTAGCTCTCAAAAATAGAGGTTACCGTCTATAAGGTTACTCAGGTCACCCCCCCCCAAAAAAAAAATCTCGAGTACGGTGCCGTAGTTTCTTCTACAAATCCTACCCACCGATGATATCGAAAAAATTCTACGATCTGAAAAACTAGCTCTGCTTCTCATAAGAGGCACCATTCCTCCGAAAATTGTAATCTGAATCCAAGATGCTCGCTTGGCCATAAAATCAAAGATTGCCCGCAAGTGGGAAAAACTCAAAAACACAGTCTACAGTAATTGCGGAGAAACAGGTAATCCTGCATCATATCGCGGTTATGCTTAATTTTCCACAGACAGATCCAGCGAGTAGAATGCGATAAAATCTCGATTTAGCTATTCCTATGTCTTAGCCAGAAAAACGTAGTGTTCTACATTGAGAGAGGCGGTAGAGTTCAAAATATAGATAGATAGATCCCCCTTCCAAAACCAAAAACTACAATGAAGAAATCAATCACTGTAATTTTTTGTTATGGTTACGAAGAAATAGTAAGTTAGGAAAAAAAAAAAAACAGTAAATTATTTGAAGTTGTTGAATTGCTTGAACACACACTAATCCTTCTAATTCCAAGTATAATATCGGTTTAATTAATTTTATATCAACAGTAAGTTCCAATCTATTTTTGAAAAAGATAAACTCAATGTTATACTCTCCTTTATTAATAAGTATATGCCAGCATTGAAAAAATGTAATAACCTGATTGTAAATTTCATGTATTTTTATAAATAATTGCAGAAATTAATGATATCAATAGTAACACTTAATGTAAGAGGCTGTAAAAGTGATGACTTGGAATGCAGGTAGTATGTTTTCAAATATTAACAAATTCAGCGATTTTATAGATCGCTACAGCCTTGATGTATTATTCATACAAGAACACGTGTTGCTTGGTCATCAGAGGAATACGCATCTACATAGTCCCAGAAAAAAATCATTGAATGTCTGGAGGAGTCATCACATTATATAAATCATACTCCAATCATATAGCTTTTAGCTATTGTGGCCATAGCTATTACCATCATTCTACGCATCGCACGTCTAATCACTTTAGTCTCCATTTATGTTCCATCTACACATCGCATGTCCAGTCACTTTATTCCCCATCTATATTCCAAATAAAAAACTCACATGATATTGATCTAGCTATACGAACGATATCTAAATTCAACAATAGAATTTTCATGAGTGGAGAATTTAATGCACACTAACGCGTATGGAACTTCGGAAATAATAACCCATATGGATACACTGTTAATAAATCTGCCTCTAAGGCCAATTTTTTTTCTTGGAGTTGCAGAAAAACCAACAAGCTATAGCAACACATCGGCTAGTATAATGGACTTTTTCCTAATCAGAAATGTCAACTATCTCTCCTATATTACAAGTACAGACGAATTACCGTCAGATCATAACCCAGTCAACATGGATACTGCATTAAGTCGCTGTAAAACACCAGACAAAAGAGCCCTTAAAACCAACTGATGTAATTTCACCTGAAAGGTCTGAACAGTATGCAGAGCAAATAAATCACAATAAAAACTAAGAATGAGTTAGAAGATTAAATTAATGCCTTCACATAAGAACTCCGTTGCTTAAAAAAACAAAGGGGCATTGAAGTTTCTACTAGACAGAGACAGAAGATTCCCTTGTTTTAACCCTCTGGGCGGCCAGGGTTTTCGCTAAGAAAGCACAAATTTCCCAAAACTACTATGAAAACAAATTATTTTTTTGATTTAATGTAAAACTCTACTGGTATTTCATACCTGGATTTGTTTTCTTTTATAGTATTAATATTTTAATATGCACGTATATATACGTTCTTACAGGTATCGCAATAAATATTCTAGGCCGTATATTCTAGGCCTTACCGCTTAGAGGGAAAATCTAATTCAACGCATAAATGCAGCACACGTCACCTCGCAATGAACAAGATATCCGTACGACGAAATTACTATGAACAGAGTGCACAACGAAGTCAGAGCTCTTACCAAAACCACACTCTATACATTTAACCAAATATATGTGTTGTTATTTATAAGCCACATTTGTTCACCTACGTATATATCTCTTTCGTTTTTCGTGTTCTCTGCTCATTAGCCCAGTTTTAAACCTGAATAGCTTCCAGAATTTTATACACTCCGTACTGAAACACCCTGTGTAGGCTTTAGTAAGGCAAATAATCGTTTCGCATAATTTTAAAAATACGTGCTATATGTATATATATATTTTTATTTTTTAACAGATGCAAAATCTTTGAAAGATCCTCATCAAGTAGAAATGCTTCAAGATCATGCCCAACTGATGCTAGCACATCATATAAAATCACAGCATTTTGACTTTACATTCAGGTATGACAATCTTTAAGCTCTTATCTTTAACATTCATTAAGATCATGTTTAGAAATTTGAAGTACTAAATTACACAATGAATCATAAAATATCAAGAATTTTTGCATCGAATTTCCAAAACTTTGCTAACCAGTGCAAAGTTTCGCAAATTGACGCAACCCTTTCACATATTGAAATTTTCCTGAATTCAGAAATAGATGTTGAACTATTTCTTTCCACAGGTTTGGACGCCTGCTCCTGCTTTTACCGACCCTTCGACAGATACCATCCGAAAAAGTCGAGGCCATATTTTTCAGCAAAATCATAGGCTCGACACCCATGGAAAAGCTTCTGGCTGATATGTTCAAGTGTTAAAAGCTCTGGAGAAAGATTTCAATCACTGCTGAATTTGTATACAATTCTACTGAAGCATGCTCTAAATTTTTTCTCCGATAAACGTCAAACATCATTGCTACTTTAGAGGACATTGTAATTGTACATATTAAAAGCTATTATTGAAATTTTAAAATTTCTCACGCATCTTTTGTTTAACCTGAAGTTCTGAAATATGATTTTCTCGCTGTTGATGAGTAAAATTTTATTCTAGATTCATTATGCGACAAAAATTCTTGAGAATGGCAAACGAAATGTTATAAGAAAATTTTTCATCAACATTTTTAGTATAAATTAATGGTATAGCCAAAAAATTAGAAATTTTGTAGAAACTTCTGTTCGTATTACACGAGCAGAACAGATTTAGACGTATGACACGAACTTTATTTTACACAAAATCCAATAGTGATTATTCAGATATAATTCCCAGGGCACGGACTTTGATGAATTAACAATTCACTTAAAATGCAGTTAAAATGACAAAAATGCTCTTCCAAAATAGAAAAAAAAATCCTCCCAAAATAAAAAATAATTATTCAAAAAAGGCATAATTGATAAACAGTGACAATGGGATTAAAACGCAAACAATTAACACATACATGAAACTTGAATTTTATTATCCCCCCCCCGAATTTTGAACATTACAAAGTTATTACAATTGCACTGAATTATTAAATGTTTCTTGATGTTTTAGAAAGAGAAGTATCTTCTGTTGTTGTTATATCAGTTTTTATATCGAGAGAAGCTCCTCTCGACATCTGCTGCAGTTATTGGAGCATACTTAAAAAAACTGCATCACTCAAAGTTAACTCTTCTTCAGTTTCAAAAGAGTCTGTTTCTGTGGAGATGAGGGATATTTTCCGCATAGTTCGGAAGCCACATTTTTAAGTCAAAACAGTGTTACATTTAACAGATGCAGCATTTGAAACTCTGCTTTTGGCCTTAAGACATCGCTTAATTTATGAATGCAATTTATTGCAACGATAAGTTTCATATTTTGCCCATGTAAAGATTTAGCAGTTGAAATTAGGATCCTGAAATTGAGTCTGATATAAGCAAGATTTCCTTCAATTTTGTCTCTAGAGTACAGTTTGAATCGAAGAAGCATCGGATCAAAGCCCATCACAACCAGGGTTCTCTTCTTTAGCCTTGCATCACAACTAACTTTCACAGTATGAAATTTTCGCTATAGTACACGTACGTATTGAGCCATGTTTTCCAACGTGTCAGGTTTCGGTAGCAAAGGCAAGGAGGAGTTTAGAATTCAAAACACTGCATATGATATGGTGTTATTAAAAATATTTTATTTACATTATATACAAGCTTGTCAATATTGGGGAAATTTGCACAGATTTTCAGACAAGTCATATGCACTAGCTTGGTATAAAATACCACTGCTGATTTTCCTGCTTTAACCACTTGCGCTAAAAAGATGTGCCACGCACGTCGATGTTTTTTGTCTCAAACCGCGCGCAAAAATGTTGAAAAACGTGGCCCACGTCCCTACAAATTGTTTTATTCTCGTTACCGCTCTGGATGCACCGCAGACGCGAACGCGTAAAAGACACTTTACCCGTTTACTGATCTCCGGCACCGCAACCGTGAAGTTTAGTCGTAGCGCAGGTGGTTAACCTTGTATGGCGCAGCATCGCTGAATAACAGCAGCACGTCACTGTGTTGAATACCATTTCGCCATAACATGTTTAGCGGTTTTTCAGACAACTGATAAATTTCACAGTTCGTTGACGTTAAAAGCAAAGATATCTTGCCAACTAAATCTGGATCCAGAGTACCTATTATCGCACTGCATATATGATGACCGTCAGTATCATTCCGTTTCATCAACTGAAACAAATGTTTTTCTCTTCTATAGTTTCTCTAATTTCTTATACTGTTTTCAAGAAATTTATAGTCGATATAACATTTTCGTGAAATTTCAGGAAACTATTATTCAGTTTTTCTCAGACACGAAAATGTCACCTAACGATTTATAAAATTTTTCTTTGATACTTCTGCTAAACAATTTTGCACAAGCAAAAGTTGAAATGCTTAACTCTATCTTTGCTAGTTCAGGTATTCATTTATGCGTATCTCACCTCATATACTACGTAACGGTAAAAAATCTTTTTTTCTGCTGTAAATTTTGTTTCACATAGTTTACAAAATTAAATAATTCCATCTTGCAAAAACCACATTTTACCCAAACAATCTTGCATAAATGGCAAAGTTTAAAAGCTTTTACTTTCGGCGTCCTCAATATACAGAATTACTTTCATTTCTAGGATGCAAATAGCGATTTTCTATTTGCTTTCTAATTAGAAGCCTTTTTATTAGATTTTAATTTACTACTCGATATGCAAATATTTAAACTAATATGATATTCTCCAGCACGGGCTTTTTTTAACACGTTAGTTTTAGAACTACCTAAGACGTAAAGCTAACGAAAGTTACATTTGTTACACTTGTAATCACTTCTAAGGTACAGACGAGATGATTATATCCCTCCATCATTCATCCTGAAAAGATTAAACAGGTGTTTAGATTAAGTCACTTTAGGTTTATCTCGTAAGTTGAGGTATCAGAACACTGCTGCAATTTAAAATTTTGATTGAGTAGCTGAGAATTCTTATGATTTTTAATCTTGCATTATTCAATCGGAAACTGTTATGTTGCATGAGTCAATAACCATTTCCCCAAACCACTCTGTCCTGAAAATAAATGTGCATTTACTCATTATGCCGCAGTCCCCAATTACTCTCCTTGTGATTATTTTCTCTTACCAAAGATTAGAGTCCTTTCAAAGGAAGCTTCCCCCCCCCATATGAAGAGATAAAAGGAATGACATTCTGCTCTTACAGCCATGCCAAAAACAGACTTCTACAAGCCTTCTCTTTAATTACCTGTAGTAGTTGCACCAATACAGGAAACTGTATCAAAGTATATGTTGCAACGATTCAGTTTTCATTAAAAAGGTCCAAATTTTCAAAAACTACCACGAGAAAGAAGTATTTTCTAGATTTTAATGCCAAAATATCCCTAGTAGTATTCCTCGATTTATGCTTTTTTAATATATTGCCTTAATTCCATGGACATATGTCCACATGCATGCATTAATTCAGAGCCGAATTTTTAATATATGTTTCCAAGAGGTGACCCCTTCAATTTTCGCTTACTGAAACTTGACTACACTTGATTGTTCTGCAAAACAGTGAAAATCTTATGTACAGTATAGCTATTCATGAACTATTCGAGGGAGACCCAATCCGCCTTGTCCCAGCGGGACGATATGATTAAAAATAGGTCAACCCTCCTCCAAACTATACTGATAAAACATCACAGAAAACATAAAATAACTAACCAAAAATAAAGAAGTGTTAGTAGAAAAACTAAAGATAAGAAAATGACACAAAACACAAACACTTACGCAATCAAACACTCACATCCAAAACACCACGAGAGGCAGTTCTGTCCTAATAAACTCTCTTCAAACCACAAAACACATAGATAGCCACCGCGCAGGGGTCACAGCAAGCCAACGAATAAGGTGTCATGTTAAAAATGCAGTAGAAAATATTATAATTGACAGCATGTAATTTTAACGTGTTACTAAAGCCCCGTTAGGCGAACAAAATAACTACATCAACAAGTAAAATAAAATAGCTATATTGTACATAAGCTATATCGATACGGCTATATCCTGCATAAGCTATATCGATACGGCTATATTGTACATAACCTATATCGTTCATAAGCTATATCGATATGGCTATATAGTACACAAGCTATATCGATACGGCTATATCCTAGCACGTAGTTTTAAACTAAGTGTAAAAGTTTGACGGTTTTGATCATATCTCATCTTTTAATAAAAATATATGAAATATAAATTTTTACAACCCTCTTACAAAAATGTTTCAAATAAGTAGTTTCTCCTCACATCATTACAGATAAACTTTTTAAAAATATGCAATTTCATATGTCATTTATTAGTTTTAAAAATTGTCAAAATTATATAATTTAGAATATTTCCACCCAATATTAGCATCAGATCACAAGGTGCAGACTAAACGCTGGATTCTGTTGACCAAAAAGTTTTGGGAGATGCTTTATTGCTCCTATCATTTGGTATGCAGTTAAAATGTCTAGAAAATAAAAAAACAGTCTAAAAGATACAACTAAAGTTTTCAAAGAATTAGATAAGAATACAAAATTTATGGAAATACAATTATAAAAAAACTAAACATTCTTGTGCCTAAAACTCCAGTATCCACTATTTACATTAAGTAGGAGGAAAGAATTCAAAAATTAACCCATCAAATACATATTTGTCAATGCACTGCCAAAACATACTCCTGCAAAATTTAAATTCCCTCTCAAAACGGCAGTCTTAAAAAAAAAAGTCAGATGTTTAAAATTATGGACCTTTTGCCGGTTTTGACTATAATTAAGGCCAAAAATTATTTCTAAAAAACCCAAGGACTTACTTTTAAGCTCCATATGAACCCTATGTAATAAGTACGAGATGGAGAAAATGATCGTATTTATACAATTTCGAGACATCCTTTCAGCTATTCCAGAAATTTTGATTTTAGATAATCAGTTTAAATCTAGTAAGATGGCATGTAGAAATTATAAAATTTAAAAATATTAAAGAGTTTGTAGCGTTGCTATTTATAACTAAAAGTTAAAGCTCTGCAAACCCTACTAGACAAACAGCGAATTATCGCTACATCTCAACAACTAGCAAATACAGGAGTAGGTTTTAAAGAAACTTTTTTTAGTCGAATACTGAACATAAAAAGGCAACACTTGTGTTACAAATGAACCACTACTGTGGGTATGTAAATTATGTAATACTAGTAGACAATTAAATTTAATTGCTAATAACATAATCTAGGCCTGCACATTCAGTAGAATAAGTGAGCTAGGTTATTTTACTAGTGTGCAAGTTTAAAGCATTGGCTAGCGAGAATGCTAAATGTGGAATAACACTTTTTAAAAACAGCTAGTGACAAAAAGCAATAGCATACAAAACAGTTTATAACTATGCTTCCCTGTGGTGACCTGTAAGAAAAGGCATAAACAGCATGTTTCTTTTTATGGGGGGAGTTATATCTTTATGTCATAAAAGGAAGCTATTTTTAAGATCAAATTCAATTTAGAAAAATTTGGCAATTAACGAGTTAGATATTTTTTCCAATGTTCCAGAGGGGGGAGGGGTCTTTTCATTCTTAAATACCTAAATTTTCGTTCAGTTGTACGAAAGCAGAAATTTAGGTATTTTACATTTTAGAGCTTTGTTTTTAACCTTGTTATTTTTACAAACTGACAAGTAATACATTAAACCATGCTATTCTATTTGAATACATATATATACTATTTACATTATGATTCATTAACAAGAATCATGACTGTGCTTAACATTACTTTCTAATAACATTACCTTTTATGACATTTATACTGAATCTACCAAAAGAAAAAATCTGATGTGTTCACCACGACTTCCTTGTACGGAATATTTAATTATATGCATTCTTTCTTGCATTTCATTTAAACTTATTGGATTGAATTCAATCTACTTCGCCGACAGCGCATAAACCACAATAGAATAAATGCATTCTTTAAAATTCAATCTAGTATTTGGTTATCATAGCGACACTCTGGCGCTAGATCACTTAACAATATTAATAATTAGATAACAGTTAACTTATATAATAAGGATATAAGGAAACTAAGTAACGGTTATATATCCATAATAATAAAGTTACTTATATACGTATTTCGTCAATATAACTCTAATGAACCAAATTCTCATTTAAAATAGAATACTAATCGTGCCACGTGCCTATTCAATACTACAATAAAGCTAGATGATGTATAAAGAAATTAAGCAAACAAACAAAAAAGAAACAGGTTTCACAGATAATTGAGTATTCTATCAATTAATTCGTTCTCACTCGCGGAGAAGCAAAAGCGTAAAACTCAAATATATATATAAAAATACGAATAAATCTTAACACTATTCCTTCAAAAAATTCCAGAAAGGATGAACCTGATTTATTTGCAAGAATAAATGAAGCGTATTTTGTTGTTGCGGAGCTATTTCTCTAGATTGAACAAATCCACTATCTCTTTCAATCGTAACATCATGGCCCATAAAAAGCGTAGTGCACTTGACAACTTTAAATTTGTTGATATTCGCAAATAGGCATACAATTTACTAAGGATAAAAACCTTAACGGAGAAAAACAAATAATCAATCATTTTTAAAGCAAAAATGTACAATTCAACATAGAATTGGAGAACGGCGTACTGACCGGATAACGAGTGGAAATATATATAAATCTTTATAGACGTTGGTGCGGCCATTGCACCAAAAAGAGGTGCACTCTCAGGTTTAGCTCCTATACAAATTTCAACATTCTTGAGCTCCGTTTTGAGTATCGAGATACGTACGACATATTCATACGGACGCCCGAAATTTCTTCAGAAATTTAAAGCAGTTATATTTTTTGAAGAAAAGTATTTTTTCTGTCCTACGTACAGATCCACGCAAAAACATCGTAAAATTGCATTCGATACGGTCAAAATGGATATTTTAGTTGAAATATGCTGCCTGAACCTTTTCGCGATTACACTTCCTTTTTACTTCGTACAAGGAAGTAAAAAGTTTACCATAATTTCTTTTAAATTTTTTTTCCCTTGCCAAAGTACATTAATAACGCTCTTTTCTGCTTAATTCAAAAATATACTTCATTACTCTCAACAGTATGATACTCACCTGAACTGATATCTTTTGCCTTCAATACTCAGGGCTGCCATTTAGCTTTAGATTACTTCCAATTTTTAATGCAATACTAAATCATTTACAGAACATCCATCTATGATAAAATGCAGTGTTATTTTAAACATTTTGTACATACTGTTAGATGATTCTACAATTATGAGCAATGCAATTACTACTGATATTTGCAACACTGCAAATATCAGACTGCAGAAAGCCTAAAAAAAATTTGATGAAAAAAATATTTCCAAGTGCCAAAAACTTGTAACGATATAAATGATGAGCTTTCTGCTTTCCAGAAAATCATAAATACAAATATGATTGATGCTATCGTACAATACGAAATGTAACAGGACTGCAGATGATCTCCAAAACATCTCAAACAGAAGCATGTCTGATATTAACAGAGCAGAAATATTGGCCTTTTTAGGATTTTTATTCTTATTAGGGTCCAAAGAAATGTCAAAACTGAATTTGGAGGAAGCATGGGCAAAAGACGGTACTGGAATTGAAATTTCGCAAGGGGTCATGGGTCTCAAAGCGATTCAGAAACCTGTGTGCTGCTCTTAGATTCGACGATAAAGGCACAAGATACGTCCGAAGAAAAACTGATAAGCTTGCTGCACTAAGAGAATTTTTTTAATCTTTCAATCAGAACTGTCAAAACTTTTATATACCAGGTGATGAACTCACAGTCGACGAAAAGTTGGAACACTTTCGCGGGAGATGCTCTTTTATTCAATTCATCCCCAACAAGCTCGCAAAGTACAGTCTGAAAATTTTTGCAGTTGTTTGACTCATGAACGTTTTATACATTGAAGCTTGAACTTTATTGTGGCAATCAACCTCTAGGACCTTACAAGGCTTCTAATTCAAGTATTGACATTGTCAAAAGGCTAACTGGTGCATATGACGGTACCAACCGTAGCCTGACGGCCGACAATTGGTATCCAAGCTACCCACTAGCTCAATATCTTTTTACCAAAGGTATAACACTTGTGGACACACTGAAAAAAAATAATAATGAATTCTAGCCATCAAAAACAAGAGCAATCAGCAGTTGACTGTTTGGTTTTCAAAAGGATATAACAATTGTTTCATATGCAACGAAAAAAAATAAGTGTGTAATACTGATCAGTTCTTTACCCGATGATGACAAAATTGACCAGGAAATGAATAAACCTATCCTGGATTATAACAAATGTAAAGGCGGAGCTGACACCGTAGACCAACTTTGTAGTAATTTCACTGTCGCCCGAAAAACTAAGAGATGGACAATGGCAATATCTTTTGAACTGCTAAATGTAGTGGACATAAATTCGCAAGTGCTCTTAATCTTCACCAAACATGATGCAACCATCAAGTTTAGAATATATTTTTTAAAAAATCTAACTACATCTTTGATGAAACCACATCTTCAGAATCGTCTAAAAATGCCATTTCTCCTGTCGCTTTCCAAAGCTATTATTAGAAGGCTGGTAACAACAGAAACGGACAAGATGGCAAAAAGTGAGCAAACCACCTGCAAAAAATCAAGGACACTGCGCGGAGTACGGTAGAATAAGAATAATTACACTCCATACACTGTTCTGAGGTTCTAATTACCTGCAAAATCATTTGGGCAAGACGTCAACTTTGCAAACCCTGCTGCAGTGAAGGACAATCTAAGAGGATTAAAGTAGCAAAAGGTTTTTAATTTTTTCATTTGTGAAAGTCATTACTTACAGAATGTTTCTTTAGGAATTTTAATTTGTTTTGATTTACGATCTTATAATTTTCATACAGAAAATAATGCAGAATACTATATAACTTTAGATTATATTTCCAGTGCATTCCCTTTTTTGAATTAATTAAAAATTCATAATTTCCATCTTTACTGCTTTTTTTTCCTTTTTTTTTCCTTGTATCCTTTTTAATATGACGAATCCCCTTATTCATGCCATGTATAAGATTAAATAGTTTCAAACACGAAGCAGAAGCTCGAAAACCAACCTGGCGTACTTCATACGCCGCCCCTCTGAAATTGTACCATACACCAGCCCCTCCAGCTCAGGGATAATAATTAGTACATAGAAAGATGATAGAAATTACTATAGAAAATTATGTAATTAATTATATTGTAATCAAGTACTTTTTTTTTTTTTTTTTTTTTTCAGTGATTACTCTTGCACTGCAGTTTAGCACATTGTAAGGTTTGTACTGAGATGTGCTTTGTTCCTAACAAAAGTTCCTATTTGGAAATAATTCTAACTTGTCTATATATTTAGTGAAGTTTTCCAATAACCTTTACATTTTTTTATAATTAATACTTGCAAATAAGTAAATTATAGTCTGATAGCAACATTCACTGAAATTTTAAATTCTGATATCACAAAACAAATTGTTACTTCAAAAGTTATATATAAAAAAACATTTATTTTACAAAATGTACTAATGTTTTTTCTGTTTTACAATATTTTCATATTTAGATTTGCTTCTGTAAAATAATAAAAAGGGAATTCCAAGAGATGGTAGTGTCATCACAGCAAAGGCAGCCCAGTCAGTCTGTAAAATATTAATTAAAAATCATTACTTAATGTCAAAAAATATTACCAAAATAAAATTTGCATTCATTGCATAACAGGTCTTACCATGTGCGGTGAAAACTTTCTGTCAAAGTCCTTTGCTTGAATAACTACTGCTTCTCCTGGTTCGGTAGAATAAGAAACCTAGCCATATAAAAATTAAAGAATTACAAAGTTATCAATACTTTATACCCGAACATTACGCATTCACAATACAGCTCTAAATTCATCTTAGATTCACAGCCTGAGACTTGGAAAAAATGTTTTGATAGTCAATGTTTTCCAAAATAATTTTTCACATATAACATCATATCAGATAAAAAAAACTGCAGCTTGTTTTTACTTAATACCTGCATCATAGCAGATAATTTAAAATTTAGAATTAGAACCTTTTCCATTTTAATAAACAAATCAACACTTCCATTAGTCTCTGCTTCATCCCCCCCTTTTTTTTTAATATTTCAACAATATACATTTGAAGAATAGTTTTCTTTCTCTTTATGCAATCAATTTCATTCTCAATAAGTTTTTCAACATTTAAGTAATCAATAAGTTTTCACAACATTTTGGAATTTCTAATTTTACTGAAGATTTCTGCTATTCTAAAAAACTGCATGTATTTAGAATATATAAAAGATACTAATTTTATTTCTTTAATAATACAAGTGCTGAGGATAAATATGAAATGATACAAGGTCAGGACCAGCACAAGAGCCTGTGTGGCAGAATTTTTAGACATTAATGAATAAAAATGAGAAAATCTTTGGATGGTGAAATTTTTACCATTGAGGACAGACACTGGGCAGCAGAATTTAGCAAACCATAGAGATTGCACAAACAGGTAAATCAGTTAAGAAAATTAAATTCAGTCAATAAAATTAAATATATAATTAAAAACATTTCAGTTTCATTAAAAAAATTCAGCCCTTCAGATGCTGTCAGCCTATACACAATTTGAGTTTGAAGCCACTGATTAAAATTCATCTATTACACAGCATGGAATGCAATGAGGGATTACATCTGCAGTCATCAATGGATGCAGGTCTGATATATGGTATCAAATGCTACTATACAGTTTCCCCAAATGATGTGATGAAAGCTAAAACTATTTATCAAGTAAATGAACTTTTTGTCGAATCAAATGCTTAATGTACTCTGCGCAAAAAAAAAAAAAAAAAAAAAAAAAAAAAAGAGAGAGGGACCACAGTTCTATATCTCCCATTCTACAGGGCTGATTGACGAAATTCAAAATGCGTTTTTCATGTCTCGAAAGCCAGATACATATATTAGATTTATATACAGCATTGTTCTAACACAGAATCGGACTTTATCTAAAATAACATACCAATTTTATCCATATTTCAGTTCTACGGCTCAAATTATGCCTAAATATTAAATTTTGTAAAATTTGGTGTGAAATTTATGGAGAAATTCAAAAATTTATCTTCACAATTTTTTTTCAGTTTGTGCCAAGAATAATTGACTTGGAGAACTTCTTAATATATGGCAACCTATTTCCTTTCTTTTCCATTGTACAGCGGCAGAAAAAAAGTCTCATTGTTCCCACCTTTTTACATTGTGCATGAGCAGAAAAAAAGTCACTTCGTTCCTACTTCCAAATAATTTTAACAAAGTGCTTAAATCACATTTGGGCACTTTAATTTAGGCATTATCGCTTTTCAACAAATATGCCAAATTTCGAAATGCCTTAATATATAAATTCACATATATCTTCGAAAATTTTGAACAAATAACGAATTTTTTGAATGTACGCTTAGAAATACATCTACTTTAAGATGATGTTCAAAATTTTATAGATTATAATTCAAAATTGTTTTAAAAAAATTCATAAAAAAGTTATTAAAAATACCAAATTAAAAAATAAATCATAAAAAATGGGTGAATGTTATTTGGAATGAACCCAAATTTCGAAATGTGAAAGGAAGAATCAAATAAGTTTAATAAAAAAAGAGAGAGAGATTAATAAATATATTCCAAATTCAATTAAAATTATAGAGCTAAAATTTTTAGAGCTAATTTTCTAAAAACTACTCATTCGATTTTTGCAAAACTTGACAGTTTGGCATAATTTGAGTCGTAGAATTGAAATATAGAAAAAAACTGGCATGTCCTTTCAGAAAAAGTCTGACTCTGTGTCAAAATACTTGCATTAGAACAATGCTGTACATAAATCTAATACATATCTTAAGTCACGCTTTCGAGACCTGAAAAACGCAAGTTGAATTTTGTCAATCTCCCCAGTAGAACGGGAGATATAGAACTGTGGTCCCTCTTTATTTTTCATGCAGTGTACAAATTATATCCATATTATGATTTCCTTTGTTTCTTTAAACTATTTTTACTACCAATAGAGACAAAATAAATGAATACAGTAAAAGACCAGAAATCCACAAAGCTTGGGACCAGAGGTTGTGCGGATTTTAGGATTTTGCACATTTCAGGACAGAAAAGATAAAGCATAATATTCAGACTAAAAGTGCAAAATAAATAGGCGTATTAGATACATTTAATTAAATTATTATATACATTACTGCAATAATTTATTATATGCATTAAATAATTATTACATATATAAATTGATTATATTATTCATTGTATTATATGTACACAGCATCAAGGTTTGCCAATTTCGCCTCAAGCAAAGATTTCCGGTTTCGGATTCCAGTGTTAGAATCACTGTTGCTGTAAAGTTTTAACAGCTTTTCTTTATTTTTCCACATCACAATCGTGTCGCAATTCAATACGATTTTGCTATAAACCGAGCCTCCATCTTTTGCAGAATTTGCACTTTTTGCATTACTGTCAATGCAATGTGTTTACGTTTTTCTTTAATATTTCTAATAGGTTAAGTTGTTTCCCAACAACTTAAGGTGGGAGGATGTTGGATTTCAAAACAATGTAATTTGTATTTTGTACTTACTTTCCTTTAATTTTTTACTTAAATTATACTTATAATTTTACAATACTTATTACTTTTACTTTTTGGCCACTAATAATTGTTGTTAGTTTGGTTTCATGAGAGTGGCAGCAGGGCAATTCATAGAATTAGGAAAATATGTTTCTGTAGTTAGTTAGGCTTATTGAAGATTAATTATATGTTATACCTGAGTGATGTTTTATTAAATAAATGAATACTTTAGAATATAGTAGTCTCTTTAGAGTCTGTGATACGCTGGTAGCGTAGTAGTTTGACGCATAAGCGAACAAGCTCTAGACACCATCATTTTTGTCACAGTGCGTGAAACATATATGTATTCATGCAGATTCTTCATTATTTAATTTCTTTAAATATAATACAGGGCAATAATATTTGATAACAACAATTTGCAAGGAGAAACATTTAAAGTGAAACAACGCAAAATGTCGCTTTGAAACAAACAGCCTTTCTAGGCTACCGCCCCTTTGGGCTAATAAATTAAATTAACAGTAAATAAATAAAAAAAAATCTTACTTAGAACTAAAAATAAATTAAAAAATAATCGCTATAAAATACAAGCAAAATTGATTATTACGGTTAAATACAATTTTAATATTAGAATTTAATGTATAAAAAATTATTAAGGAGTCAAAAGTATTTATCACTATTATGTATTATGAAATATAATTGAAATAAAATTCCTTTATAGAAATTGTGCTACAATACTCATCTATAATTTAAAAAAAAGAAGTACAATTTAGAATTTTAAACAAAACTTTTAAAAATTCATTTAAAAATATTCTAGTATTTTTTACTTATTTATACCAATAAAAAGCATAAAAATTGCAAGAGAAAATTGCTTATTTGAAATTTTCTAATAGTTCAGATTTAAATATTATTTTCTAAAAGAAGTAGTTACAAATTTCTTTATAGCATAGAAAAAGCTAAAAAAATATCCAGCCCTGAAAGCATGCAACAGCTTTATAATTATTTGGAACATTAATTATGCTTGATAAATATGCTAAATTTTTTAAATCGATCTGAGTTTAAAAAATAGAAATATGTAGAAATTCTAATTTGTGAAATGAGGCACTATAACCAACTTTTTCTTGACAATTATACACACTGCAATAGCCAACCATTGTAAGTTTCTGCAAATCGTCCCTACTCCTCCAGATGTGATCAAGGTGACAGCCGGGAATGCGTCAAAAGAGGGAGAAAAGCCATTTGAGTTGATCTATTTCTTATAAGGTCCATGAAATATCACGAATACACATCAAATAGTTTCTAATTTCGACTATGCATAATGTATGCTTTACGCATGCGCACATTGAAAGAAATGTTTAATAAAGTAAACAAATAAATATTAAGATTTTTTTTTTTGTAAATTTTGATACCCTTTAGATCATAATTGCACTTTATTACATAAATTACAGTTTTATATTTTTAATTTTATAATTTCTGCATGCCATCTTACCAGATTTAAATTGATGATCTATAATCTGGAAAAACCGATAATCCGGAAGTCCCGACGAGTCCGGATTAAAGACTTTTGACTGTATTTGCTAATTATGATATTATGAATGTGGCCAAATTTCACGTCAGTAAGAGCCCCTTATTGGAATTCAGGAAAGTTCAAAAGCCACAAGTTCACATTTAAATCATTTTAAAGGTAGTGATAAAAAGCTAATCATTTTAAAGGTAGGTTTTAAAATTTAAATCATTTTAAAGGTAGTGAATACTGAAAATAATCCAGAGCTGCAATGCCACTAATTATATTTGCTTCTAAAGCTTCTATATTTTTTATTCTTGTATTCTTGAATCAAAATGAAAGTGTGTTTGTTCTTTTTTCCTCTTTATTCCAAGTACAGCAACAAGAGTTTTCTTATATCCACACCTGAGTCTTATTCTTTAGTGCAGTAAAGTCCAACAGTTCTGCTTTCACTTCTAGATTATTTGTTACATAATGAATTAATACAGCTAGCTCTGGATTATGTTCAGTATGTGTAGTTTCGTCTAAGGCAAGCTTAGTTCTGAACAGTTTGTCAAATCCTTTTGAATATTACTTATAACGTCATCGGAATTTCACTGAGCAATATTGAAGGTCATAATAAATCTGGCCGCCATTGCTATATCAGCATCCTTAATAAACATTGACATAACTTTGATTGAATTATTTAATTTTGCTTGTAAAGACAATATTTTAGTTCATATGTAACCAGCAGGAAATTGTTGGCTGAAAGAACAGTGATTTGATTCATAATGTCACTTAGGATTACTGGCTCTGAACTGTGACAGAGCAACTTGACATAAAAGACACTGGTTTCTCTGGTTCTGACATTGGTTAGGGTTTCTCCTGATTGAGTGCATAAACTTTCAAAAATTCATTGCAAATATAGATAAAATTTGCAAATTTATGGTCAAATACAATCTTTCAGAAACCCTTCTCTCGATGAAACTTTTCTGTGATCCAAGGTCGTGTAAAAGGGGTATTTCAGAAATGGATTGTTTAACACTGTTTTCAATATTTGCTTTGCAAGTGTCTGTATCCTCATCAATACAATTCATAACAGTTTCTGACATCTGTTTATCATCATCAATTCTATGAAAGTCTTAAGTATGATGTGTGAGGTTTTTGGCAACATAAATCAGACTGCAATGTTTATATTTGCATGTTAAGTAGTATTGTTTTGATTTACAATTTACATGACCAAATCGTGATTTTATTTTTTGGACGCATAAAAAACATTTTCCATTACATTTTAAACTTTAAACTTTTTCCCCATGTTTTTTATTAAAATTTTTAGAGCCGTGCTGAGAATTATTGCAGTTTCATTCTGATTTGTCCACATCAAATGGTGTAGATTACTAGGCATGTGGTGTAATAGTATTTTTTTTAATTCTTTAAAGTTTTAAATTATAAAAAAATTAGTCAACTTGTGTTGAAAAAAAATTTGAAGATCCGTCTAAAGTAAGCAATCATCTGGAAAATGTAAATATGAAGAAGAAAGCAGGAGATTTAAAGCAGAATTGGAAGAAGAATTTGTTTTTATGGAGAAAAATGAGAAACCAGTGTCTTTTATGTCAAGTTGCTCTGTCACAGTTCAAAGCCAGTAATCCTAAGTGACATTATGAATCAAATCACTGTTCTATCAGCCAACAATTTCCTGCTGGTTACATATTAAGATGAACTAAAATATTGTCTTTACAAGCAAAATTAAATAATTCAATCAAAGTTATGTCAATGTTTATTAAGGAAGCTGATATAGCAATGGCGGCCAGATTTATTATGACCTTCGATATTGCTCAGGCAAATTCTGATGACGTTATAAGTAACATTCAAAAGGATTTGACAAACTGTTGAGAACTGAGCTTGCCTTAGAGAAAACTACACATATTGAACATAATCCAGAGCTAGCTGTATTAATTCGTAATGTAACAAATAATCTAGAAGTGAAAGCAGAACTGTTGGACTTTACTGCACTAAAGAATAAGACTCAGGTGTGGATATAAGAAAACTCTTGATGCTGTACTTGGAATACTCTGTATTAAGTAGTAAGTGTCGCAAAATGGCAATGCTCCAGTTATGACAGCTCTTATTAAAAGGCTTTTGTTAATTTTATAAATACCAACACATTGTATCCCTGTCCATTTAATCATCCATAGAGGACATCTAGTAGTTAAATGTTTTAAATATAATCACATTATGGTGCTAGTTTAAAAAAAAATTAACTCTATACTCTATATACTCAAACACCAAACAGTTCAAAGCCTTCATACAGGAAACAAAAAACAATGAGCTTCTAGATAATGTACCATGGTTATGTTTCACAAAGTGGCTCTCAGGAAGTAATGTGCTAATAAAATTCTTTAATTTGCTGGAGCCAATCAAACATTTTATCACCGAGAAAGGAAAACCTTTCCCAGAACTTGGTGATACCAACTAGTTAATAAATATGATGTTTTCCAGATATATAAAATATTTACAATCATTAAATTTATCACCAGAAGGATATGATAAACTAATTTTTGATCTAAGAGTGGCTTCAGCTTTCATAATAAAACTAACCTCTTCAAGAAAGATCTGGTTTATGAAACCTTCTCCCACTAAAATGTTGGAAATTTTACCCAGTTAATGAAATTATAAATACAAATTATACATGCAAGCTTCACAGACTGGCAGATATTACTGATAGATTTAGTTTTTAGGTTTAAGCATACTGAAGCTATCATTTACATTTTTATAAAATCATTTCCTTACTGATGTTTTGAAGAATGGCTGTCCAATCTCTCCACCAATTGCTGAAAATATTGAGGCTGTACAGTTGTCTGTAATGAGGTGTATGTCAACTTTAGGATTGGATTACGGAAAAGCACGCAAGCGCTATCTGCTTAAGTAGATGGATGCTTTCGTGTAAATCTTTTTAAGAGAAAATTGCTCACATTTACATGGAAAACTCCACATGTAATCAACTGATGGAAAACTCCACATGTAATCAACCTTTTCTCTGGGTTTGATTGGATTAATTTTGTTCACTTACTGAATTACATCAAAGCACACAACAATTATCTATATAAGGGGAGAGATGCCTTTGCAGAGGACTTTCTAAGGGAAGCTGGCTTGTATTTACGTTACACAAAAACTGTGAATCCAACCCTTTAGCCGGGATTTAAACCTGAGCGAGCTACAAGTGTTCAGCCACCTTTACGCTCTACTGAAGGGCCCATAAAAGAATTGATAAAGAAAAGGCATTGAAATAACCGTTTAATTTACTAACCTATATTTTTCAATTGACAGTTCATAAATTAGGCATATGCAAGGCTTAATTTCTAAAAGCAGATGTGCCGGAGCCCTATGTAAGACCGTTAGGAAAGAGTAACAAGAGTAAATAATAAAATGACTATTCAAATCATTAATAATTTAAAAATTAAGTAATTAATGATTATCAAAGTAATTAATGATTATTTAATTAATATTAAAATCAATATTTATAAATTATTATTTAATTTATAATTATTATTAAATTAATTCATAATTGATTTATTATTTATTAAAATAATTCATGATTAGTGTAATTAAATAATTAAATAAAATGTAAAGAGATAAATTAAAATTTAATAACAGAATTTTCAGAATTTTATTGCTAAAAATAATAGATCAAATTTCTACTGAAACATTTGTTGAGTTACACAAAAAAGACCGGACCCTCTTTATTTAGGGCTCCAGTGCGCTCCGGCTAGAATTAGAATATGTCCTAAAAGCTCAGAAGTACCGGAGCCGGGCTCCAGCGCAATTTAAGCTCTGGGCATATGAGGGGATTCTTTTGGCACTTTCTGTATTGCACTTTTCTCCAATATTTAATATTACGATGGAATTATTGCATTTCAAAGTTATTTCTCATGAATTAATTTTGCTCCGTTCATGATTTTTTTTATTTTTTCAAAGAGAAAATTTCACACTTTAAATAAAAAACACACGAGAAGATACTGTATGCAAAATTTGGCGTAAACAGTTTTCTTAATTTTGCTTTAAAAATATTTCAGAGTAATCGTTTTCATTACTGGAAGAAATATGAAAAACAGATTTACTGCATTGTAAGTGTCAACACCCAGTATGCCCTTATTCTTTTGAAAACATGAAAGACTAAATTAGTCATTACCGTTATTTTGTTAATGAAAATATGTTATTAAAAATTGCATTCCAACCTGCAGACTTACAAAACTAGTTTTGTATTTATTATATTTTGTAAAATTTTGTTCTTGTTTTCTAATTTCTAATACGAAAATATGCGAATATAAATTAAGTGTGAAAACAAAGTTATAAAACTCACAAATTATTGCCGAGATTGATCAGAAATAGTAAAGGAAATGTAAACATTGCATACATTTTGTTCTAAATAAACAGTGCACCGGGTGCATTTCCAGTGCACTATTTATTCATGAAGTTTTATTTAACTTCATTTAAATAAAAGCAACATAATCATCGGAAAAAATCGCAAATCTAGCAACCCATCTACTATGGAACAGTGTCCGACAAACATGTAAATTTTACTGCATCCATGGAGGGAACTAACAACTTTTCTCATTAGGAAAATGTCAAAGACGGGACAAAAGTGTTTGGATCGCAACCAGTCTGAAGGCTATACAGTCAAAAGTCGTTAATTCGGACACCCATAATCCGGAATGATCTATAATCCGGACCTCAAAGCTAAAAACTTTCTGCGCATGCGCCGCATTGACACATGCGCACAGGCGCTAACGCATGCGCGTAAGACCTTTACGACTGTGCATATGCGTGTGCGCAAGCGCAGAACACGTTTTCGCGTGCGCGTTTTATGTATAACGGACGGTATAAGCTAAAATTATCTAATTATCTATTTCAGTTAATGTTGATGATTGCGTTGTTCCTTAATCTTCGAATTGGATCCGTCTTATTATTTTTTGCAAACTGTAAGAGCAATTTTATAAAGGTAAACTGGAACTTTCGATTATGTCAAATAGAATTTCCGATGATGGAGCTCCCAAAGGATTTACAAAACGAAAGTATGTTTCAATGTTCATCAAACAAAAAGTGGAATTGCTGAAAAAAAAAATGGATAAAGACATGAAGAAGGTGAGAGAGAGGTTAGTGAAAACGAAAAAATTTCAATTGACAAGTTAGTCGGTATTCTCGGCACAGAAATTACGGGACTTGAACAGCGGAACTTTGTAACTGAACAAGAAATTATGTCTGTTTATAGAATTAAAGAGAAAGTATTATCACATAAAACGAAGCAACTTAAACAACTTACATTGAAAGAAATGTTTAATAAAGTAAACAAATAAATATTAAGTTTTTTTTTTTTTTTTTTTTTTTTTTTTTTTGTATATTTTGATACCCTTTAGATCATAATTGTTCTTTATTTCATAAATTATGGTTTCATATTTTTAATTTTAGAATTTCTGCATGCCATCTTACAAAATTTAAACTGATGATCTATAATCCGGAAAAATCGATAATCCAGAATTGCCGAAAAATTCTCTATAACAAATACTTTCTTATAGTATAAATTCTCTATAACAAGTATTTTCTTAAGATTTATTATCAACTGCAAACATAAAAATATTAGTTTGATCTTATCTGCGTTATGAAACAATATTAAGATAAGTTACAGCCAGAATTATATACAAACCTGAACTTCTTTGCTGTCTTCAGAAGGATAATAAGTTACTTCAGCAGCAGTGAAATTATATATCCCTGTTTGCTTTGGTCGCAATACAACTGTATGAGATATATTTGCACCTCTAATGTTCAGTTAAAGAATGATATATATAAATTTCCAATATATAATGTTATAAATCTTTAAATATGAAAATGTATATACACATGATACACCCATTTAACTAAAGAGACTTTTAAGCAGGAGAAAATATGCAAAATAGTTACTTTTATTCATGAATGTTTCCTGTAAACTACATAACATCACTTAAAAATTCATAATCATTCACAGAAATCAGAATGGTAAAGAAACGCATTTTTCAACGTTCTTGTCCCACAAAAATTTTATTGTAGACACATATCTTACTAAAACTATTACTGATGGCAGAAAACATCAGCAAATGGTATATTCATGCTCAGATGCCTACTTCATATACCAGAAATCTAAATTTGTCAGACCATGCAACTTTTTCCTGTTGACTGTAATAAGACACAATGTAATGGCTTTCCAAAAAATAATATATTAGTAACAGCAAACTAGATCTAGAATTACATGAACATTCACTGTGACCTTCACACTAGATAGATTTTAAATTACATCAAAGGATACGGTCCAAGTCTATCCAATTTCATGTTGAGGAATCCAATTACCACATCAAAGTGTTCTTCAGGAAAACTGTTATCTTTCAGGTGAATGTTGTGTGCAGCACTACAGATACAGAAAACTATATTAGATAAATTTGAAATAGCATGAATATTTTAAAATATAACAAAATGGGAAAACAAGTCAGAATATCTTAGCACAGAATTGAAACAAATACAACTTTCATATTTTAAAGATCTGGAAATTTATTCCCACACTTAAAATACTTTATAAAAATATTTCAGAACTAGTTAAAAGGATACTTCTTTTTTAAAGCAGCCACTAAGTTACATAAATTAACGAAATTAATCACCTAATCTCTCATGTCCAAATTTCAAATGTCATGAAAAAGATAAATTAGTTGTGTGCTAAAATATTATTTCAGTTTAAAACTTTGTTGAATTAAGAATTGTAATTCAGTTTAATAAAGTTTAGAGGTATGCATTATTATAGAAATTGGACTTAACTGCTATTACTCTCACACTAAATAGACAGTTTATGGCTTATTATACGAAGAGACATTTTTATATCCCATATAAAATTTCAATTTTTTATACAAGTAAAAATATTTTGATTTAATTAAAAGATTTAGCTTTATAAATTACTCAGTTATTACTTATTTAATTGTTAAAATAATCCTTTCCATAAATATAGGCAGGGGGGGGGGATTTCAAAATATATTCTTCTAAGGGCTTTTCCCAAAAAGGTTTAATATAATTGACAGATTGAAATGATTGGTATTGCTGGAAACATTTTTATAAAATAGTTCATATAGATTTTTATCTTTTGATACTAGTTCATGCTTACTTATATATGAACAAATAATGCTAGTTCATATATAATAATTTAAGAATTAATTTTACTGGAAACCTTTAAAAAGTAATGCATATAATTTATACATGTTTCCATATCGGGGTTTTGCGTAAAAGTGAAAACATGATAGCAAAATTTTATTTCATGATAGCAGACCTTAAATGATTATCTTTGCTGATTATGATTTATTCATTTTGTAATAGTTTATAGATTTAACCATATGTTTTGTTATCTTTTCAAATTTCAAATGTAGTAGTTGCTTTAACAAGGAAGAATTCTAAAAAAATCATCAGATGTTAACAATAAGCAGCAAATAGAAACAGTAAAGTATAAATATTATATCCTATGAACAGAAGTTGGAATATTTTTCTCTATGACCACACAACTAATGGTAATCAATATCACAATTCATAAAACATGATAACAGTAATATACACTCGTCAGCAAAATTAAGAGAATTTGCACATTATGGCAAATTTCTGAAAACTCAATTTTAACTTAACTTTAAACAATGAAATTTAATGAAATTTGGTATGAACATACATTTATAACAGAGAAAGAGATACATTATTCAAAAGTCATTTTATGATGCACAGTTATCATTAAAGCTCTTAGTGCAGGGATGTCCAAAATCTAAATTAAGATATCAGTTTGAAAATGAGTCTAATATGGAGTATGGCCACCTTTCATAACTAGACAGGTTGTGCAGCATGACAGCATAATGGACAAGAGCAGTTGAGGAGTCTCTGCGGCAGTCGATCCCACTACTGCAACAAGGCAGTTTTCAATGCCAAAATGATTCTTGGAGGGGGATGGCGATATGAAACTGCCCTTCCCAAAGCATCCCAGACATGCTCTATAGGTTTAAGGTCAGGAGATCTGGCTGGTCAATCCATGAGTCGAATATCCTCACTTTTCAGAAAATCTAGGATCAATTGGTGATCTGTAAAGCATATGCTGCTCCACTGAAGTCTAGTCCAAAGTGCATGTAGTCTGCTATGCTAAACTGGATCCATATAACACTGAGCTCAGTATCCACCTGTGCTTGTGATTAGCCTGCCTCCAATCTACCGACAAGTCTCCATCTCATCCCATCATCCATATGTTCAAGACTATCCATATGTTCCATTTGTACAAATAGCTTACTTAGAAATTAAGTAAAACCGCAGTGCTTTACTTCGTTAGAGTATTCTCATTAGAATTGGTGAATTTAATCCTTGACTTTGCCTTTTCTATATTTTCTCCTTCAGGTGAGCGGTGTGATTGCATCCTAACTGTCTTAATTACTGCAAATAGCCTTTGGGCATAAAAATGAACAGTCTTTTAAAAGTTTTATGTAATTGTATGCTAGTATTGACATTTTTTATGTGTATACTGTTGTCGCCAATAAGTCTGCTTGGCGAGATTTGCGCCAGCGAAACGGAAAAGTATCGAAATTATAAAGATGCTAATGAAGTCATGCATTCATGTGCAAAATCATGAGAATTTGCAAATTATGTCAATTTTATTAAAAGTTTTGAACCAAAGGTACTAATTGAAAGAAACAATCAATCTGATAAGAAATGGCTACGACTTGTTTTGAAAATTAGGCGTAAAAGGTTACCAGCAAGGATATTCCGTTTAGCACCAGTTGTACCATTATTGGCAATTTTATCGCCTGCGCCGGCAAAACGGAAAAGTACCATAATTTCTTTTAAAACAAAACTAATACACGACTAAGAATCAGTCATTCCAGGTGAAAGTAAATTAAAAAATCAGATCTGTGAGGGAAGATAATTTTTTAATATTTTACAATATGAATAAATAAATTGCAAACTTTATAAAATAGAGGAAAAATTTAATGAAAAAAGTCTGCATTTACAGAAATTAGAAACCCATAAATTTTAATTGCTTGCAGTTTCAAAATTACAAAACATATGGTTAAATCTATAAACTATTACAAAACGAATAAATCATAATCAGCAAAGATAATCATTTAAGGTCTGCTATCATGAAATAAAATTTTGCTATCATGTTTTCACTTTTACGCAAAACCCTGATATGGAAAAACAGTATAAATTACATGCATTACTTTTAAAGGTGTCCAGTCCAGTAAAATTAATTCTTAATTATATATGAACTAGCATTATTTGTTCATATAAGTAAGCATGAACTAGTATCAAAAGATAAAAATCTATATGAACTATTTTATAAAAATGTTTCCAGCAATACCAATCATTTCAATCTGTCAATTATATTAAACCTTTTTGGGAAAGCCCTTAGAAGAATATATTTTGAAATTCCCCCCCCTGCCTATATTTATGGAAAGGATTCTTTTAACAATTAAATAAGTAATAACTGAGTAATTTATAAAGCTAAATCTTTTAATTAAATCAAAATATTTTTACTTGTATAAAAAATTGAAATTTATATATGGGATATAAAAATGTCTCTTCGTATAATAAGCCATAAACTGTCTATTTAGTGTGGAGAGTAATAGCAGTTAAGTCCAATTTCTATAATAATGCATACCTCTAAAACTTTATTAAACTGAATTACAATTCTTAATTCAACAAAGTTTTAAACTGAAATAATATTTTAGCACACAACTAAAAACTAATTTATCTTTGTACAGCCATATAGAAACTTTGGTACTATTCCGTTTTGAGGACCCTAAAAAAATTGCAGCGAAAATATATGCACAAAAGCGCCAAATCTAGCAAACGCACCCAAATCTGGCGTACGCGTTGATTTCAGATTGCGTAAGTTTATATAGTTCTATATTTAAGACGACATTGAAATATTCATTTAATTTTTAAATCCTAGTTTGATTTTAAATCCTTTTCTGATATCCTATGGATTTAACAATTTGGGAATTGTCCATGACGAAAAGTCTGCAATAGAATTTTGGGTAAAGTGCAGAATCACCCAGTGCTTGACCCTTTTTTAAGAATTGCACATACTCGGTATCCATCTGCACATCGACCTATTTTCACTTAAAAAACAAATCCCAGAATTGCACAAAAATGGACCTGTGCAAACCCTTGACTTTATCTATGTACACATCGACCTATTTTCACTTAAAAAGTAAAAGAAAATTGACAAAAATCCAATTGTTTTTACCCTTGTAATAAGCGGCAAACAAATAAGTGGGCGATTCTGCCCTTTACTGAGAATTTTTTCAAAGAAAAGGCATCATTCATTACAGAAAATTGTGTTTGAACAAGCAACGAGATGAAATTATGCTTTAGCGATAACTCGGTAGCGAAATAGCGATGCAGGCATCCATTTAGTTATGTTTAGCAATTTTTATATAAATTATAATAATGATCTGAAATAGTTATTTACTCTTATGCTTCCATTCAGTCATGTTTAGCCTTTTCTATATAAATTATAATAATTAAAAAGTATTGTATGAAATTAATCTTTCATCTAAATTAAAGCATCAATCTTAAATAGTTATTTACTATTATACTTGCTTTCTTGCATTAGAGTTGCCGCAATTATTTTTGGCAACACTGGCATCAACAATTGTTTGGCGATTTTTTACGGCCCTCAAAACCGAATAGTACTGAAACTTTAGTAATTCCTGATCACAAAGTCCCATAGATATTGGTTTAACCATTTGAGTGCTATGTGTCTTTGCTGTTTTCCCATACAAAAGCGCCACCGAGCGCTTTTCCGCTTGTCTTATTCTCTCTCCAAAGGTACTAAGTGGCACGATAGCTCTTGTCTTATTCTCCAATTAAAAATCTCAAGGAGCACTATTGCTCTTATATGGTCTTAATTCATGGTACTCTTGTCTTATTCTCCAATTAAAAATCTCAAGGAGCACTATTGCTCTTATATGTGGTAAATTGTAATTTTTCATTCGTGTTGTTTTTGCTCTTATATGGTAAATTGTAATTCTTTCAATTCAGTGTTGTTTTCTGCTCTTATATGGTAAATTGTAATTCTTTCAATTCAGTGTTGTTGTGACATCTTTCTGAGCGTAAGTACAGATATCAGCATATTTAAATAATATAAAAATATTATTTAAATATTTTATTGCATGTATAAAAGGCATGTACAGTAAATTTTTCACTAATTTTTTAAGTAATCTACAGTATAATTTTATTTTTATTTGATGCCCTGCAGCAATTCAATGGCTTCTAAACATAAAACGAGTAGTAGTATAACAGAGGATTTGAATTACGGCAGCAATGATGTTATTTGTAAAAGAAGAAGGATTAATGTCATTGACGATTGATTCCAATATTAATATCCATAATACTAGTGACATTTTGAAATATATTATGATTACGGAAAATGAATATATTGACCAAGGCAATTCATTGAAATGTCGGGACTGCAATACCATTTATCTAATAGAGTCAAACCGATTCAATATTTTAATTTCTTTTTCACTAATTCTCTTTAGACAATGATGGTTGAGGAAACAAACAGATATGCAGAAATTGCTATCAAAATCCTAAAAAGCTGAGTCTACAATGGTAAATTGGCATCCAATCACTATCCTGGAACTGAACGCATTTGTAGCCGTACAATTGGAAATGGGAATAACAGATAAGCCAACTATTCATATTGAACTGGCATTTCTAGAGCTATACCTTGGTTTAAAAAGATGTTCCCAAGAAACAGATTTCAAAATATTTTAAGATGTTTTCATATAGTTGATGATAAAAAGTGTTTTCAATCGGGATATGAAAAATATGACACATGTGCTAAATTCAATCTGACTGTTTAGCATGCTAATCGAATGTTTCAAATATATTACACTCCATACAAAATGTTGCCTATCGATGAATCTTTAGTGAGAACACTGCATCACTCAAGTATCATGTAATATTTACCAAACAAGAAACATCATAAATGGGGCATCAAGTTCTGGATGCTTCGTGACGCAATATCAAAATATTGTGTATTGTTTTATCATTATCAAGGTGCAAAGTCAAAGAATTCTCAAAATGGGCTTGGTTACGATATTGTAAGTAAATTACTGCAAGATGCTGATTGTGTAGACAAAGGATAACGGTATATATTGATATTTTTTTACAAGAACTGCATTAGCTAAATCTTTACATTCAAGAAATACTTATATAATGGGAACAATCAGGAGAAATAGGAAAGATATTCCAAAGGAAGCTAAAGAATTAAAAGTTGGAGAAGCAAAATAGTTTCACAATGGTGAAGAGGAGTTGGACAAAATGTTATATACATATCTGGACGAACGTCGTATGCTAAAGTACTGGAAAAAAGCGACCTTCAACATATTTTCAAGAATGGTATTAAATTCGTATTTGTTGTATAAGGAAAAGAAGCAATGCCATAACTCCACTGTACATCGAATATAATTTCTGAAATAGAACATGAATGGTTACGAACAAGGGAAGATGAATTCAACATAAAGGGAGGGAGGAAAAGACGTATGGATTAGAAAAACTACCAGGACCTAATTTGAGGTGTTGCATAGAAACAGTGCTATTAGAAGGTCTAGATTAATTTGTATAGCATGCAAAAAAGGTTTGCATTTATGTGCTTTGACAAGCATTTCTGTACATTTTAATGATATTTGCATCTTTGCATCCAAATGTTAGACTGAAATTAAAATTTGTTCTTTTACCAGTCTCATTATTTTAATTTTACCTAAAATGGAATGGTAACCATAAAGTTGTGCATTGACGGAAACCGAGCATTTAACAGTTATCGGCTTCACAGCCTACAGCTCAGGCACTTTTCGAGCGACACAAAAAAAGCGCAAAATCATTCCTTGGAACTCAACCGGTTAATGTTATTTATAAATTTCGGAGAAGAAAAAAAAACTCATTTGATATTTAACTTGGTGCTTTTACAAACTGAAATTTATGGAACCTACTATCACTGCCCATGCATGAGGCAAGCACAAACAGTGATAAAATGCAGCAATGATTGCACTATGCATTTTTTTTATAACTTGCCTCTATTGCAACAAATAGCAATACAACAGCTATTTTGCAATTTATTGATAAAGCAATGAACAGATTTTTCTTTCCCAACAATTTTTTTTTTTTTTTTTTTTTTTTTTTTTTTTTTTTCCCACAGTTTTTGAAAATATTTTCCAACCCTCTTCTAGGGATGTCACCATGCATGTATTTTACAGCTTCAAATGATGATGAAATCTTTAATTCATTACGCCCAGTTGAAAATTCCTCAAATACTGAGCCTGATAACAAGGAAGCAAAAATTACTTTCAACGAAGTTTTAGCATTAAGGCTAAAAAGTATTCTTACTTTTAAAACCAGAAAAACTGAATTTTGAATTATACCAGGAAATAAAATAATAGGTACACTTCAAGCAAAACAATAAAAAAGGAAATTAAATTTTTAATAAGCAGCAATCGAAATGATGTTTCGTAAATATAAAAGTAATCGGCTGATCTTTGGAATTTGGCGACATTTTGGAGGCGATAAAGGTTACTACCTAGGACTTTGGTAATAATGTGAGAAGCACTCAGTTCCGATTACGCATTATTTTGTGTGAGGGAGATGAGAGATCATGAGATATGTCATGTGACATTAATGGACGAATTAAAGTTCTTTAATCGGGAAAGGGGGTAAATTTGGAAAAATTATTTTGTATTAAGCTTCATTGTGTGTTGTGTGAAATAGTGTTGATTAATTTTCGGATTGCATGGCGCTATGTAAAGTGAATTCTAAATTTTTAATACGTAATAATTTAATAATAAGTTGACTACTGGATTTCGGATTTAGAAATTAGCAGTAGTACTGCAGCCGATTGGAACTCTTTCTGTAGGGAAGTGTGCGTGCCACGTAATGAAGATTCTGAAGAAGATTAGGTAAGTTAGTATTTTTAATCATTTGAGGATATTATTTTTATGCATTGTTCTAAATGTAAGGAGTAAATAAATTAAAATGGTATTATTGGAAAATTGTTATTAGCAATGATTTAGTTTAAAGTAATTAGGATTGTAATCTAATTTTTATTAATTTAATGTATGTGCTTATTTATATTTTAAGTAGTGTTTTTTAATTTAATTATATTTTAATTTAATGATCGTGATTTTGTGAGTTATATGTTTGTAGTATTTTGGAATACGTTTGAGTTGAGTAGTATACGTTGAGTATTTTCATGCATTTTCGTGAAATTTTTCTAATTTATGAGAAAAAAAGCAGTGTACATGGATATAGTGAAGAGTGTGCGCAATGCCATTTTTTGTGCAATTCTGGGATGTTTTTTTAAGTAAAAATAAGTCGACGTGTACATGGTTTAGTGATATTTTAATTAAATGATAGTTATTTTGTGAATTTTATGTTTGTAGGAATTTGGTATACGTTTCAGTTGAAGTAAACGTGTATGGAAATAATTTAAATATTTGACACTAAGTATTTGTAACTATTTTTAATGTTTGCGTATAAATTCATTGCTGACGTTTATAATAGATAATTTAGAGGTAAAAGTTTTTGGTTATTTTATTTATTTTATACTTGGAAATGTTCATTCTTGGAAAGGGTATATATTTTTTGCGATCAGGTAATTTCATATATGTTCTTTTTACCGGATTTAAAGATTCACAAAATTTTGATGCATTTTTGTGAAATTTTTCTAATTTATGACAAAAGAGCAGTGTACATGGATATAGTGAAGAGTGTGCGCAATGCCATTTTTGTGCAATTCTGGGATGTTTTTTTAAGTAAAAATAAGTCGACGTGTACATGGTTTAGTGATATTTTAATTAAATGATAGTTATTTTGTGAATTTTATGTTTGTAGGAATTTGGTATACGTTTCAGTTGAAGTAAACGTGTATGGAAATAATTTAAATATTTGACACTAAGTATTTGTAAATATTTTTAATGTTTGCGCATAAATTCGTTGGTGACGTTTATAATATAATAGATAATTTAGAGGTAAAAGCTTTTGGATATTTTATTTATTTTATAAGTGGAAATGTTCATCCTTGGAAAGGGTATATACTTTTTCGCGATCAGGTAATTTCATATATGTGCTTTTTACCGAATTTAAAGATTAAGAAAATTTTCCTGCATTTTCATGCAAATTTTTGTAATTTATGAGAAAACAGCAGTGTAGATGGATAAAGTTAAGAGTGTGTGCAATGCCATTTTTGTGCAATTCTGGAATGTTTTTTTAAGTAAAAATAAGTCGACGTGTAAATGGTTTATGTGTATGTGCTATTCTGAAAAACGCGCAAGGAGTTTGCGATTGTGCACTTTTTCCCAATTTTGCAGTTAATATTTGTCATGATTAAGCAGTTTTGTTACATAAAATTTCTAGCATAAGTGTAATTCGGCTAGTAGATTGTTGGAAAAAGTGTTGAGTAAATAAAAAGAAAAGAAATATGTCTTTACTTCGTGAAGACAAAATGGCGGCGAAAAAAAAAGTAGAGGGTTGCTGTAGCAGAGTTGGTCGCCAAATTTTCGCCAAGTTACCATAATCCAAAGATCAATCAAGTAATCATTTGTAATGTTAATGTAATTTAATACCACAGGCAATTATCAAATCAGGACTGTAAAATTAAAGGCATAAGAAACTTCTGGACAAAAATACATACGAAAACTATTTATAATAATCAAGACAATTCTCACTATCGAAAAAAATCATTATTGCACTATTCGATTCTCATTTTTCTACCCAGATCCCAAGAAATGTTTTCTTAAAAAGAGAAAAATCGCTATTATCTGGTGCACTTATTCCTTTGATACTCGCAGCACAATGGGATATACACATGCTGAGCTCGTGACATTCCACTAGAGGCACTGATTTGTCTCAGGGAAGCAGACTGTCTATGGGAATTCCTAAACATTTGCTGTGTGGTTTTTGCTGGAATTGCAGAGAAAGTCTAAGCCTAGTCCATATGCATGGAGAGCACATTAAAATTTGCCGTCTTCAGAGTTTGCTTATTTACGTTATTTAAAAAAGTGACAGTTTTTTTTTTTTTTAAAGAACTTTTAATATGAGAGTTTTAGTTGCTTATGTGCAATACTCCACATGTAGTATAAAAAAAGGAAAAGGAAACACATGAACAACATTCAAAACATGATCTGTAATCTGAAAAACGCTTGGTCCCAATGGGTGTTGGATGTGGATTAGAGGAATTCTATTGTATATTTAAAACGAAAAAATATTAGAAATGAAAAAACAAGCTATGCAAATATATGTTAATTTACAACAGAGTTTAAATCTTATAAATAAAGCCATTCATTTTATAATTCATTACATAAAAATTTTTAAAAAGGAAATAAAATTATCACCTTTCGCCAACATTGTAAATATTATAATTTGACACCAGATCTCGCCCTTCCACTAAATATTTATTGAGGAACCTTTTATGTACTAAAAGACGAGCTTGGCTTTCATCTTGAGCTTCAGATCCCAACAGAAGAAAAAGGAAAGTAAAAATAAAACACAATCCCATCTGGAAAGGAATACAATATGATAAAACTACAAATAATTTTAAAAGCAGACTATTATTAAAATAACACAAAGTTTCTCTGTACTTACATATTAACATAACCACTTTAATTCATTTTGGAAATTTTTTACAGATAAAAAGGTAAAGTTTATTTATCGGGCACAAGTTTGAGAAGTGTTTTACTTCATTATATGAGGTAAAGGAAGTATTGTAATCGCAAAAAATTTCGGGTATCCTTTTTCAATGAAAAATGCTTAGAATGCTACTAGCTATTAATATTCACCCTTAACATTTTATCATTACAATAGGAATTAACTTATGCTCCATAATTACAATACATAAAATGGGAAGGTTATCTTATGCTTGTAATACTTATATCTTCAAACACGAGCGTGCGATGGGTATTTTCTGTTATCGAGACCGAATTCAGAAATGTATGTGTGTTTAAGCACACACATACATGCACTTCTGAATCCACTCTCAATACCAGAAAAGTAAAGTGCAATGCATATGTTATAAAGAGATTTTCTTTATAGAATCAAACTGGTAATACATGCATACACATTTAAATGGTTATGCAGAAAATGAATTTCATTTCGAACATATTATTTCATAACTTGTGAGGTTAATCTTTGGATTATGGTAACTTGGCGAATTTTTGGCAAAAATTTGGCAGCCAACCCTGCTACAGAAACCTGCTAGTTTTGTTTTGGACATCATTTTGTTTTCCCGAAGTAAAGGCATTTTTTTTTTTTAACTCAACATTTTTTTTTCCAACAATCTGCTAGCCGAATTACGCTTATGCTAGAACTTTTATGGAACAAAAGTGCTTAATCATGACGTAGATTAGGTGCGAAATTGGGAGACAGTGCAGAATCGCCCACTGCTTACCGCGTTTTTAAGAATTGCACATGCACGGTATCCATGTACACGTCGACCAATTTTCACTTAAAAAAACATCCCAGAATTGCACAAAAATGGCATTGCGCACACTCTTGACTTTATCCATGTACACTTCTAAAGTCCTAGCTAGTAACCTTTATCACCTTACCAAAATGTCGCCAAACTACCTGTTACCATATTCCAAAGATTAGCCTCTGTGGGTTAGGATCAGATTCAGAAACGTAGCCCAATAACAGAGAGTACCGAATGCAGATTAAGATATCAGCACTTCATTTACATATCAGGACTAACTAGTTTTCTTTTTTTTATTATTATTATTATACCATCCCTTAATTCTGTTACTACATAGCTACTTAATGAATATAGATTCTCAAGTGTACAAAATTTAATTTTATCATTAGATATAAAAAAAAATTTTATAAGATATAAAATAAAACTGAAAAGAACTTTTCATTTTTATATAACAAGCAATAATAAAAGAGATATTGATGATAAAGAGCAAAACCCTCTGCTCCAATTTTGCCAAAGTTTATCTCAATGCATTATTAATAGCGTACTCTGTATTTATGAAATCGAATTACTGTATAACGTAATAACGAAAGAAAACTGTACGACCGATATAAATTTCAAAATCATTTTATAACATGCTTAGTTACTAATGTTGGACTGGCTTTCCAGCCCACTTATTTTAGAAAACATGTACCGTTAAAGGAAGAAATGCTTTCTATTTTTACTAATTAAATGAAAAAAGGTGGAAAATAAAATACCTTTGATACTTTAGTTCATGCAGATAAATCTAATAATATGATTTAATTATATTAATATACCAATAATTTAAAAAGTGCACAGGACTAGCACGAAACATGCAAAGATATCACCACATAGCGCTTCAAAACCAGAAGCCGCCGTATTAAACGTGTCGAACGGATTGTTGCCAACTCAAGTACTCAAAAAAGAACTTTTATAAAAAAAAGATGTTCTCCAATATCTCAAAATTACGCCATTTCGTGATATGTCGATATGACTGCAAATGAAGATTTCCTAGAACTCGATTCGGAATAAAAACATATCAAATTTACTCTACTTGAATCGGAAGCGACGATTTCTTACAGATACGGGTACAAGAGTCACCGACGTATTGGCTTAGACTAAGGCTACTATAAAGGGGAGCTGAATCATCATCCATTTTGAAGCTAACTTGTTGGTATTCGCTATTGGATTAGCACTGATTTCCTTGACATTGCATCAAATTGTTCGAATCAGTCTAAAAATAACTTTAGGATGTTTCGTTTCCCTAGAAATGAAGAAAGACGAAGAAAATGAATAGTTAATTCTCGTCGAGATCAATGGATCCCGGGCCCAGGAGCGTATCTTTGTGAGGTAAGTTCAGCTTCGTATTTTTCCATAGAATGTTAGAAAAATTACTCGTCTTGGTACTTTAAAATATTTATTTTCATTTAACTGTCACTTATTGACGATCAACTGATTTTATAAGTACAAAATCAACTGCGGAATGTGTATGTGTTTGTGCAGTAAAATATCGTTGTTTTCATGTTGTTTCTTTTGTTATCGTGAAAAGTTTATACCGTTTGTAAAATTTGTATCATACATTTCATGTAAACTTTGTGCTCAGTTAGAAATGTGATGTGCCTTTTTCTTTTCTTTAATTTTACTGTACGATTGGTGATTTAAAGTAGCATTCTATGTTTTGATTCTGATGTATTGTCGCCAAATCGGATAGTTGGCGCCAATGTTAAAAACTGGATGGTATGATCCAAATAATAAATGATTTTGTTTTTTTTCTTTATAGTAAGATAAATATATTCTGTATTTTTAGACATTTTTAAGAAGTTAAATATTAATTTAAATATTCGATGAATCGTTTTGATCCCATTATTATCCTTTATTGTAGTAGTAAATCTTAATGTTGTATTTTTAACTATAGGTACTTTAAATTTATTTTTAGTGTGTGAGCAGGAAATATGTTTTAAGTAGTTTTACAAACATGATTACTTTTTAAAAATTTTGTTCTATTTTCATAAAAAAATTTAAATTTATCAGAAAATTACATTCTTAAATTATTATAATATATGTAACTGTAATTTAATACTAGTGCTTTTGATTTTAATGTTAAATTTCATGCATGCTTTTGTTAAATATGCAGGTACATTTTGAAGAAAATCAATTTGAATGCTCTAGGCAAGATGGGCGTAAAAAACTCAAGCCCAATGCTGTGCCAACTCTTTTCACTGTGCCTAATCCCCCACAACTGTTGACCCCACAGCGTCTAAAAGGCATTGGTTTACCAAAGCACCGTTCAGTTACATCCAATTTTTGTAATGTATGTTTTTTTTTATTTTTATGGTTTTTCATAAAAAAATATGTTTTTATTACAAATGGACTAAATTGCTTTATAAAAGAATCAAAATATTGAAATTAAGGCATTATGTGATAAAGCTGTAATTACAGTCCCTAAGATTAGATTAAAAAATTAAAATTTTGCTGTTGTTATATATATAATTAAGTATGTACTTTGTTATTATAATCATATATTGAAAATTAAGCATAAAACCTCAATTTGATGTAGTTTTTGGATAAAGTTTTTGTAGTTTTTCGAGGACGGTCATACATGGGTCTGGTTTCTTCAAATTTGCTCCTAAAAGAAAGAAACCGGTATCTGATTGCCTTCAAAGTCAAAAGAGTTTAAATCAAAATTTGTATTAAACTAAAGTTGCTTTTTTGCTTAATTTTAAATTCCAGATAAATAGAGAGAAATATGTATGGAGTAAGTAAAAGAAATAATATTGAAATTAATAACTTTAATCTTGAGTAATACAATAATATAGTTATAATACATTGATTTAAATGTATATTTTAATGTCTTATATGTCTTGTCTGAATGTTGTTATTTTTTGTTTAAAGATTTACAAAACTTATTAGGATTATTTATATTATTTATTATTAAAATTACATTAAGTATATTTTATTTATCAGCATTTTCAGGTATCCTTACTTATATGTGTTTCATAATTTTTGCATCTTCAGGGTGGCTTGCTGCACAGTTTACCTTTATCAACTGAAGCGATTTCTGTTGCTGAACCATCTGTTGTAAGTCTTCATTTGAACAGTTATTAAATATTTAGTATTATAAACTTTTTCTAAAAAGTATTAACACTGTTTCTAAAATTTAAAAAATATATTAACGTAATATTTACTTATGTTTAAGAAGTATGAATGCTATGAACAGTCCAATGTATTTATGCTTTTTTATAAGTTGAGTTACTTTGAAAATGGTAATGATTATTTGTATTTATTTTTATCCGATCAGAGTTTATAATTTCTTTCACTTCCACATATTTCATATATTATAATTTCTTTTAGGTTCATTTGCCACAACCTTCAGCTTCATATTTTGGAGAAATAAATTTTGCTGCCGAAGTATCTGATGTAAATTGCCATTTTGCACTTCTAAAAAATTTTAATAGTTTTTTAACATCTATTCGTAAACTGTACTATGTTTTTTTAAATGTTTCCATCTTCATAATCATGCACTTTATTTCATTTCACCAGTGGTTGCAAATGTGTACATTACAGTACATCTCAGGTGTGTTTGCAACAACATTTAGCATTACCTTCTGATTAAATAACAGCTGCTAGTAAAGAATCTATTCTATGTTTTCATTTGAGCAGCTATTAAATGTCATATGTTTTACATATATTAATGAATTTTTATACGATTTCTGAAATATGAAATTGTTTGTCTTATGGTTGCTAAACAGCTGTACTATATCTGGCTGTTGTGCTATGGAATTATTTTTGAATTTTGAGTGTTAACAATTTATTATCTATTTATGAATTATAAAATGTTATGTAAAATAATTATTTCTTAAAATGAATGTAGTTTATATTATCTGTATTTCTAAATTTCTTATATATATATTTCAGGTTTGTTTGCAAGAACAAGCTTCAACTTCATCTTGTGATAAAATGCCATCTATTTGTGAAGGATCTCATGTAAGTAGATAATTAGTGTATTATTAAATTGCTTGCTTATACAAAACGTTTCTATTAACTTTTTTTGGGGGGGGGTAAAAGGAATGTAATTAATTTCATCAGCATTTACAAATTCTTTGTGTACATTTCAGGTTTGTTTGCAAGAACAGCCTTTAGCCTCATTTTGCAATGAAATACCATCTATTTGTGAAGGCTCTGATGTAAGTTGATAACTAATGTATAATTAAATTACTTCCTTATATGCATTTAAAATGTTCTATAAAGTAATTTTTTGGTAAAAGGAATGTAATTAATTTCATCAATAGTTGCAAATTCTCTATGTAAATTTCAGTTTTGTTTGCAAAAACAACCTTTAGATTCATCTTGCAACCAAATTGTAATTAATTTTAATTAATTTCATCAGCATTTGTGAAGGCTGTGATATAAGTTGATAATTTGTGTTATTAAATTGCTCATGATTATGGAGATAATCGATCCCTTGAAAAGCTGGAAATAAATTTTAAAAATCTATTTTTAAGTGAAATAAATTTTAAATATTAGAAAATAAAACAAAAATAATCTAGAAAATGCTGAAAACAATAGAGTCAAATTTAAAAACCCACCACAGTATAGGAAAAGAGACCTGGAACTTGCATTTTTATTTTGTGGATTTATTATCTGTTTAAGTTTGGACATTTAATCCAAAGGGGCTTTGTCCCTGAAGGACTATTGTTTTCGTTTTGTATTGAAACACTATAAACGGCTGCATCACTTTTCAAATTGTTGCCACCAAATATTATCACCCTGTTCTATATTTAAAGAAATTATATAGTGAAGAATCTGCATAAATGCATGTATGTTTTTTTGCATTCTGATAAAACAACAGTACCTAGAGCCATCAAATTTTGAATGACTTAATTCTACTGTGAATATGGACATCTGGAAGACCGAATTTGAAATTCGGAATTTGTTTTAATATATATTTTATATGTTGTAAAACTTTAACGAATTTTTGATTAACAAACTTGAGGATTTCAAAGCGAGCAATGGCAATGTTGTACAGAAAAGACACTTTTATCTCCAGCGTGTGAGACAATGAATCGGGAATTCTGAAGATATGTTCATTTTAAAATTATCTTGCAATATTGCTGTTGAACTGAATTTTATAGTTTAAGTGTGAAAAACTTGATATTTATATAAATAAAGGTAAAACACAAAATGTTAAAAAAAGGCCCCTTTGGGTGTAATTTAAAATCTGAAACCTTTCAGATCTTTTTTGTTTGTTTGTTGTGTGTTCCCCCCCCTTCTTTGATGATTATTCATATAGATTTTTTCTTTATTCCAGGATGTTCTTTTAAGGAATTTTATAAAACAGCAGACTGAATTGATCTCGCTTCTGCAATGCCAGAACAAAATATTACTGAAAGAACTTACAGCAACCAAAAAAAAAAATGAAATTAATGTTTTAAAAAAAAATGGCATAGCACTGCTTAAATTCAACTTCATGACCTTCAAGTACAGCATGAGGAATTGCTGAAAGGAGTGAAAACATTTCTTTCAGATGAACAAATAGCAATGTTGAAAATTCCTCGTAGAAGCATTGCAAAATGGTCTAACGAGGGAATAATAAAAGGCCTCAAAGTTAGATTTGCCTTGGGCAAGCATGGTTATAATTACTTGCACAGAATAGGTTTTCCTGTGCCTTCATACAGCACTTTAAATAAAAGACTTCAAGGTCTTGAAATGAATTTTGGAGTCATCAGTGAGATGATTGAACCTTTGAAAATTAAAGGAGAAAAAATGAATGCTAGTGATAAAGACTGTATTTTATCATTGGATGAAATGGAGATTTCTGGCAATCCTGATTTTGATATTTCAAAACGTAAATTTATTGGTAAATGTACATTAGGAAATCAAAAGGGTGCAGGAAATCACTATTTAGTTATTTTACTAAGAGGTTTGAAGCTGAAATGGAAGCAAGTGGTTGCCCATGAGATAACTGGACAGGTAACAGGATGCCAGCTCAAACAACTTGTTGTCAATGTTATCGAAGCTGTCAATTCTGTTGGATTTAATGTTGTTGGTATTGTTAGCGATATGGCAGCAGTAAATAGAAGCCTGTGGAATTCTTTGGGAATATCTGTTTCTCGAAACCAAAGAAATAATTTCACTACTGAAATTAAGGGCAAAATTATTTATGTATTTGCAGATGTGCCACATCTTTTAAAAAATCTCTGGTCTGCAACTCTTAATCATAGTATAAAACTGCCCAGTTATGTTTGCAATAAAGAAAATTTGGTTACTTTGCATGTATCTGCAGGATTTATAAAAGATATCTGGATTACTGAAACAAACCAAAATTGTGGTTTGAGAACTATGCATCATCTCAGCAAAGAAGACCTCTTCCCCTCACATTTTGATAAAATGAATGTTGCTTCTGCTGTGAGGTTTTTTTCCAATTAAAACAGCTGTGGGATTGGAGAAGGCAGTAGCTTTAAAAGAGATAAGCCCTAATGCTCTTACAACAGCATGGTGGATAAGATTTATATGTCAGTGGTTTCAAATGCTATCCTCTAGATGTAGAAAGAACTCAATTTCTGTGACAAATAAAAGCAAAAAAATTGAGTTACTTTTTGAATTTATTAATGTTATACAGCTTATAGAAATTGGTAAAGGGTGGAAACCATTACATACTGGTTTGATTCTTTCTACTTTATCAGCCATACAGTTAGCAGAGGCATGTTTTCTGAATGATTTTCAGTTTATTTTGACGAGCAGATTGACACAAGATGCTCTAGAAAATGTATTTTCTCAGATACGCAGAAAAGCTGGTTTGAGGCCAAGTGCTTTGCAAGCTGTGAAAGCATTAAAGCTTATCTGTTTATCTCAGTTTATATCTGACATTAAGAACTCCAGTTATGCTACTGATTCAGATATTTACTTATTAAACTATGCGAAAGATGAATTTGAATTTCTGAAGGAGAAAAAAGCTTTAGAGCCTGTTACCATACCAGAAGTTTCTGATGTATCTCTACAGAATCTCACCCTTAGTGAGGAAAATAACGTCTGTTATATTGCAGGAGCTGCAATAAATTCTGTTTTGAAAAATGCTTGTAATTCATGCTCACAGTTTCTCTTAGTTTGTGAGCAAAATACTCCTTCCATTGATGAAAATAAGCAGTACATAATTAATTTTGCAAATTTAGGTGGGCTTAAATGTCCTTCTCCAGAAATTTTTAAATTGTGCCTTCTGTGTGAAAAAATAATTCAAAATTTTCGAGACGAAATAATACATGGAAATGTAACTATGGATGTGGAATTTGTTAATATGATTTGTAAGAAAGCAGGCGAGGTAAATATTCCCTCCTGTTGCAATATCAAAACAAAGATAATAAAATATTATTTGACTGCCCGTGGAATTGGTCTCAAGAAGCTTCTTCAAAATAAAAGGCAGCAGCGGCAAAGTTTTGCATCTCCTGCTTTTAAAAGGAAGAAAGTAAACTAGAATCTAATCAAGAGTTTAAGAAGTTTTTGCTGTTCAGTTCTGTCTGTAAAAAAGTAGAGTAGTTGTCACTGAAAAATTGCTGTTTGTCTCTTCGAATAATAATTAGGCCCACCAACAGCTGAATGGTTAAAGTTACTGAATGCTGGGAGTTCCATCTTCTGTTCTATTTCCGAACAGGCTGGCTGCATGGTTGGTTTTTTTGTGGTTTTTCCCCATGTGTAATGTGAATACAAGCCAGTTCTCCTTAGAAAGTCCTCTACAATAGAAGATCTCATAGTCAGCTAAATCGGATTTACTTTTGTGTGACCTTAAATGAGGCATCAATTGTGAATCTGTTTTGGCATGTTATTAGGAATTTTAAATGAAACATTTATTGCTGTTGTGAAAGAATGATCAACTGATGTTTACCTTACTAATCAATGTCTTATAGTATTGTAATGGCTTGCAGGATTTTTCATAATGGGATGTTGCATATGTTTTACTCTTCTTTTTTACCAAATAAATAGAGTATGTTCCTAATCAGACATTTCTTCTTTTGTACCAGGGTTATATAGTATGATGTGATAATTTGGATTTGTTTATAGAATACATAACAGTATTTTTTGACATTCTAATAGAACCAGTGTATTTTATTTATTTACTTATTGCTTTAAAACAGATTTTGAATCAAGGCTTACTTCCCACCCCCTTTGGGTATGCACATAAAACATGTTTAAGCTATATTTATAATATATCAATGAGATACAGTGGATGGACAAAAATATGGAAACACCTTGTGAAATGCATGTTTGAAAAGAAAGATTGATTTTAATGAAATGTAGGTGGCGCTGGCGTTTTTGACTACTGACGCCACCTATACAACTTCGTAAATGTGCTAAACAGTTCAGTTGTTGTCGGAGTACTGTTATGTGAGGTTGTCATTGCATTATGTCAGAGTTAACAGACTTCGAACGTGGGCAAATTGTTGGAGCACGTATGGTAGGTGCTTCCGTAAGCAAGGTAGCCGAGGTGTTTAGTGTTTCAAGAGGTACTGTATCGAAGATTTATTCCGCATATTTGAAAAGCGGAAAAACATCATCTGCTAAATCACAGGGCGGACGAAAGTGTGTCCTGAGTGATCGTGACAGACGATCATTAAGGGCAATTGTGACGAAAAATAAGAAGACCACAGCTGCAAAAGTTACTGCTGAAATGAATGTTGTGTTACCGAACCCTGTGAGTACCAAAACAATTAGAAGGGAGCTTCATAAACAGGGAATTGCTGGCCGTGCTGCAATTGAGAAGCCACTCATCAGTGACGCTAATGCCCGTAACAGGAAAAGGTGGTGTTTAAGTCATAAAGCCTGGACTATAGAGCAGTGGAAGCGAGTAATATGGTCTGACGAGTCTTCTTTCACATTGTTTCCCACTTCTAGCCGAGTTTACGTCTGGAGAACGCCATCTCAAGCCTATAATACAGACTGTTTGTTGCCAAGAGTGAAACATGGCGGGGGTTCTGTTCTGGTTTGGGCAGCCATATCGTGGTTCTCTGCTAGCCCCAAATGAACTGTGTCAGGGCACATGACTGCCAAGACTTATGTGAACATTTTGGCCGATCAAGTTCATCCCATGGTACAAACTTTGTTCCCCGATGGTGATGGTGTCTTCCAAGACGACAAAGCCCCTGTTCACACAGCTCACATTGTCCAGGACTGGTTTTCTGAGCACGAGGATGAGTTGTCCCATCTCCCCTGGCCACCACAGTCACCAGACCTGAATATTATCGAACCTTTGTGGTCTTAGGTTAGCTCCTTTAATGGAAAAAGAACAAAATAAAAATGATATACCTTGAAAACAAGAATACTATCTGAATAGTGTTGGCTAAAATTTATTCAGATGGTTTTTTTGCATTTATTCAAACATCTCCGCATATAAATGAGAATTAATTATATTATATTAGTTTTAAAAGTAAAACTAATATAATATCATTCTATATAAAGCTGTTTGATGTATAATGGAAAAAATTCAATTACTGCAGTATGTTTTAATAAAATTTGAATATAATAGACTGAATTGCACTACATTAGACCAAAAAGCAAAACATTTTTATTTATTTATCTTTATTTTCACTATATGTGTTTGTCATATGTTTGTTACTAGAGGACTTATTTTATAGATTTGAAGCTAAATAATATTTTTATGTTTTTACTTATGCAAATTAATTAATAAAAAGAACTGTGATTTAAGTATTGTCTTTGCTGTGATATAGATTGAATCTTATTATGTTATGGAATTATCATTTAAATATTCAGATACGTGTAATATTAAGAGCATATGTATGTAAGTATAATTTTTCCAAGTATAATAAAGTAAGTAACCATCAACAACAAATAAACTTATAAGTAAATAGTATCTGTAAATTCTGTATGTAAAGGTATTATTTTTATTTTTATTTATTGTGTGTGTATTATTTTAATATTGTTTATAGCTAAATAAAGAACAAAAAAAAAAAAATTTAATGGAATTTTTTACTCTATTAAATCTATGAATCCCACAGTCATCTGAGCATTGAAGTAATTTTTATAGCATTCTGCACTTCATTCTAAAAGCATTATAATTTAAAGGTGTATATCTTGAATCAGTATTTAAAATCATAAAGTGTTTAGCAGCTTTTTCTGGAAACACACACAAAATAACATTTTTAACAAATTTGCTACAGTAATAGACGTTTGATTCCATGTGAGCAAAATTCAAATAACATATTAAAAATAAAAAACAAAAATTAAAGATTAAACCTTATCCTAAATTAATGGAGGTTGAGGGATTTCCCTCAACCATATTAAGAATGTGGTTGAGGGAAAGCTCTTGTCAAAAAATACATTTTGAGATAAATAACATTATGCGTGTATTTAAAAGAAAAAATTGAAAATTCAATAAAGGAATTCAAAAAGAAAGCATTTTTAACTAAAAATACAAATTTGAAATATGATATGTGAAAATGTTTTAGAAACTTTTAAAATAACTTGAATCATACGAGAAATTTGGCAATTTAA